CTGTGATTGTAGTGGAGATTTTAGGGTCTTTGGTGGTTATGAAATCATGTTTTCTATTTCTTCTGAATTCATCTTATTTGTCTTACATATTTTCCTTTATTTTCTATTTTTGGATTGACTGGGACTAAATTCACATTTTTTCTGTATTTATCAGAAGTTATACACCATGGTGTAGTTGGACCATTTTCCTTTTTTTAAATCTCAACTTAGTCTTTTCAAATAAGTAGCTTGCAGCATTGTTGATCATCTCTATACCGTTTGGTTTTTGATTTCACAATTTCCAAGTTCTGTATACTTTTCTGTGTCTATTTTATATGGTTTAGTATTCTCTCTGATGCCAGCCACCTTTTTTCACCTTTATTTTTTGCTGCTTTCAAAGACGTTTACTTTTAATTATCTCTTGCATTTTGTTGCATTTTTCTTCTTGATCTGTCAGCTATTTGGAGATATGTTTTGTTTTACTTTTTATATTAATTTTTATTATTTTTGGCTACCATTTTCTAATTTTGTTGCAATATGGATTTTGGGAATTTATGATAGTACCTGTTTATATTATTCAGTTGCATTTAATAAAAAAGTCACATGTGATGGTATGCTTATAATTCTAGCACTTGAGAAGCCCAGACAAGAGGATTATGAGTTGAAAGCCACACTGAGCACACACACAAACATAAAAAATGATTGATTTGTTAGCTACTGGGCTCTTTATGTATTTATTGAATCATTCTCTCTCTCTCTCTCTCTGTGTGTGTGTGTGTATTTATGTATGTGAATGCAGGTGCACAAGTGCCATGGTATATGTGTGGATGTCGGAACACCACCTTGGGTGTTGATTCTACCTTCCACTTTGTTTGAGACAGGATCTCTTTTTTCTTTCTTTCTTTTATTGCATATGCCAGGGTAGCTGACCCATGAACTTCTGGAAATTCTCTGGTTTCCTCCTCTAATATACCCGTTGGAGCCCTGGAATTATAGACACTCAAGCTACACATCTGACAATTTTACATGGGTTCTGTTGATTTGAACTCAGGTTCTCACACTTGTGTACCAAGAGCTTTTACTCACTGAGCCACCTTTCACTACAGAGCCTGATTTTTAAATTGTTTGTTGAAATTTATATCCTTATAATTTGTTCTTGCTTATTATTTTTGTTTATTAGAAAAGCATTTTTATTCCCCTAACTCTGACTGTGAAGTTGGTTTATTCATTTTCTCTATCAGTCAATTCCTATTTACTTGATGCTATGTTATTAAGAGGACAAAAGTACTCTATACACTACAGAGTATTTTCTGGGTGGATCTTTCCTTTTCATTTTTACTTAAGGTCACATTTACTATTTGCAAGTTTACCTTAAAATTGAATTGCCTGTTATTAGTTGGAGGAGTAATTTTGCTTTATCTGTATCTTTTTTTCATGTTCCATAAGTTTTTCTTAAAATCCTTTGTAAGTAGTATTTTTAAATTTTTTCATTTTGTTCTCACAAGGCATAGCTATGGATGTTGTTATGCACATTAATTTCAACAAACCAACTTTTTATTCCTCCATCTGAAATGACCTTCTTACAGTCCTTCACTCTACCAACGGAGCGATGGAAGGGTATTTCATTCTTTAATCTAAATCCAATCAATTCTTCTGTCACATAATACATGTGTCACCCCAAATCTCTCACTGCACAAAATTGTGTGATAAAACCCACAGATTTTTATGGCTGTTACATGAAACAGGATCTTAGGAGTACCACACTCTTAACTTTGCCACTGTCACACACAAGTCACGTAGTAGCTCTCTTCCTGAGGCTGAAAGATTGACCTGTCTTTTATCCTATCTTCCTTATCCTTTTAGAAACTCTTCATTTATTCTTACTTTAATTCTTAGTAAAAATTGTTGAACAATTGAACACATTTTTGTTGGTTTTTCTTTTCTCTATATTTTTCATAGTCATAAAGAATGGAACTGTGAGTGAAAGATCATAAATAAATCCATGTAGGATAATTGGCATCTTGGAATGTAGTTGGATAATAGGACAGAGAACTACTAAAGATGATTGTATTTGTATGTAGATGTTAATTTCCATTGGAAACTTCAACTTACTGCAGCATAGACATACCCTAGAGATTGCCTTGAGGTTGGTCCTGACATATTGATAGGAGGAAAGAAATGTGATACATGTTGTGCTTCCCTGTGCCCTCTTCCAGCTACATTCCATGAAACCTCCATGAACAAGAGAGAGGCAGATTTGACTTCTCTGATAACTTGGACCTGGAGTATGTGGTCTTGTTGTTTCTGTGAGCTGGCCTGGGGCAGAGAAAGTGGTGGTGGGAGGGACAACTTGAGGTCTTTAAGGAGCCCTCAGTGTGTTTTGCCTCTTTGAGAACAGAGAGGGCCTGGTTGCTCCCCAGTTTTGGCCTGCCATTGAGGGATGACCCGCAGGGATGGGCTGGCAGCTTCTGACCCTCCCTTCTATTGCAGTCTAGGGGGCCAAAACCCAGGTGCTGCCAGACTGCAGTGGGGTTCATACACCTGAACTGGGATTGAGGCTGCCTCCAGGTTAGCAAAGCAGATGCTGGGGACAGGGCCCCTGTACCCTGTATGACACCTCCACTGGAGCTCTGTGGATGCTCTTGATGTGGGAAGCCCGTTCAGACCCAGCTCACAGGGCCTGTAGCCTCCCACCTGATACAGGGATTCCCTCTGTGTTGGAATAGGACCAAACTTCCCTTACCTCAGGCTTCCTGGTTAAGAGAGGAAGGGGATGAAGATTCAGGGAAGCTGGGCACCCTGTTCTTCCCGTGGGCTCCCTCTACACCAGGCTTCCCTTTGGGGCTCCCTTTGTACCCAGCCTCCCAATGGGCCATCCAGAGAGGAGCTGACTTTGTTTCCTTCCCTAGGGCCTATGTCTGGCAGGCTGCAACGATTGGGTTGTGGGTGATTCTGCGACCAGGGCCCTACATCTCTGCTGAGGTTGACCTTGGAGGCTTGCCCGGGTGAGCCAGCTTAAAGTTTAGAGTTGTGGCTTGGTAAGGTATTTTGTTTTATAATAAGTAACATTTCAACCAGTGTTACTATCACTGGTTGAGCATGTGTTGTGTCCTTTGTGCCCTGTATTAAACTCTGTACTTCGTGACTTGCCTGTGGTGCCTGCAGTGGTGTGTGGGGCTTTGGGTGCTACTGTCATCAGGTTTGTAGAAAAGGACTTGAGATGTGGGTCTTGGTCATTAGTATGTGCAAGGGCAGAGGTGTCAAAAGGGGGCTCATCATCCTGTTGCCCCGCAGAAGAGGGGTGATGGTCAAATCTGTTCTTTTCATGTGTATGCAGAAAGGGACTGGAGGCTCTAGAGCATGCAAAGAATGTGATGCCAGCTTCTGGGCTTGTTCTGGAGACATCAGATCTTTCTCTGTTTGGCTGACAGGGTCCTTTCCACACACCTTTCCCTGCCTTCTTGTTTTTCTGGTCTTTTCTCTCATCATGATTCTGGCCCTCAGCCTAGATGATGGAGGTTCAGGTCAAGAATCCAGGGGTTCTCTGTTACCCCTCTCAGTGACAGAACACTGGTCTTTCTAGGATCTGCATTCAAGTGAGCCCTACTGCTCACCAGGTCAGAGAGAAAAACAAAGTTTTTCTTCAAGCTTAGGCCCTGTGATGGCCCAGCTGATGAGCAGAAAAAGCCTCAGCTTAGGGTGCAGGAGTCTTGAAGAAGTAATTACCCCCATGAATGTCTTCTAGAGCCCAACCCTGCCCCTTCCCAGTGACCTGTGTGGGATGTTCATTGACTGGTGAGCTACTTCTGCACTTGAAGTCTTGGGTCTCAGAGGAAGTGAGAGTCAGAGACTGTATCTTCCAGATGTGGAAGAAAGTGTGACCCTGTGACTGAGGAACATTACTATGCTAAGGACTACATTCCAGGAAACTGAAGGATGGAGCACTGAATTCTGAGAAAGAGAGGGAATGCCTCACTCAGACAGGTGTGGGAGCCTGGCCAGAGTTCTGCATGACTCCTCAGAGCTAGAAAGATCTAAAAGACCTTGCAATGTAGGTGGCATATTTCCTTGGGAGTCTCATATGTCCTTGAGGATACTGTGAAAAACTCATATGATGCAGGTCCCTTGAGCACCGAGTGTCCTGGGACCATGGTTGTAAAGTCACCCAGCCATGCTATTGGCAACTCCGAGCAGAGATGTCTGCTGTGCTCAACTGACCAGACATATTCTTCCTCCAGCTTCCTGTCTCACACACTGATGCTTTGCCTCTTGTCCCTAGCTGGCTTCTTTGAGATCCTAAGACACAACTAAGAACAACTGATAAGGGCTTTGTTGAGGCCGTTGATAAGTACTTTGATCACCTGATTCCCAGAATATGTCCTCTCCAGGTAAAAGTTTGCCCTCCTTTTATCTGTTAAAGAGAGTATGAGTTTGTAGAAAAGGAAAGCTGAGATGAATTATTCTTCAGATAAGCTTTCTTAGGAGTGTTAGAGAATCTCAGCCTGAATTAGTAAGTTTTCAGGTCCAAGGAAGAGTTTCATCAGGAAAGACAGCTGCCAGGTAAAATATGATGCAATTCTTAAAGGGAGAAACTGATGCTTTAGTTTCCAGAGTTATTAAAAAAATAATAGCATTATACCATGGGCAGCATGATGGCATCTTGGGGGGAGAGTCCTCAGTTCCACAGGGCAAAGGGATTTTCTGGCACTTACAGGTTCCTTGGGGCGGGGGCGAGGTGGGCAAGTTCCATGCTGTGTGACCTAGCTTAGCCTGGCCTATGTGCTAGGAGTCATCAGGCCGGAAGGCACTAGATGAAAGTAAAGTTCAAGTTCAGGGTTGCTTTGAGATTGCTCACAGCTGCAAGGGGGAGGAAGACTACAAGGTCACAGTTTCTTTATCAATTTTCTGTCCCAGAGAGAGTTTCAAGGAAGTGTGACCCAATTTCTGGGAAGGGGGTGCATCTAGAGGGTCTATGATCTAACAGCATTCACTTTGGAGGAATCATTGTACTTTTATCATTGATAGGCTGTGCCCAGTCTCTCTGGAAAACTAAGCTGACTTACTAATAAGTTAGATCTAGGCCTTCAAGTTAAGCAAAGAAGCTTTGACTTGTCTTTGTTGCTCTGGGCTCCTAAATCATCTGAGACAAGGACCACATAAAAGGTTTCTTTAATTGTGATTGATATTCTCTAAGCTCCATTATCAGCTCACTGACAATTTGTATTCTAAATTAGCTCTGTTGTTTTAATCAATTAATACCAGCACTTGCTAAACTAAAAAGTATTAAACTTTTTATGGAAAAATAGTATTCTCTCCACTTTGCCCCATAGTAATTTAGTTTACTATACTTTTTAATGTTTTCCCAGAGATTTCAACACACATGAAGCAAATTATATACACCAAGGTATGTGCATGCATCTTCTTAATATTAAATACAGAATTCCCCCTATGTATTTTCTTGTCACTTGGGAAATGATTTCTGGAGCCTGTCTTTCTTTTTGATTACCACATAGTATTGCATAGTAGAATTTACCACAGTGAGTTTATTAGTACCCTAATCATGGATACTAGTACTTTTCAGTTTTATGCTATAATATACAATGTGGTGACACACATTAGTTTGTATCTGTGAGTATAGTTGCTGCTGCCTACTTTCCAGTTTGATGCAGTTCTCCAATGGGAACTACACTGTGTATGGGAACAGACACTATGTATTTCTGATCTTCATGGGATGCTTGAATCTCATGCTCTGGAAAAAAATTCCTTTCATTTTCAGATTGTCAAACTATAGCCCACAGACTGGCCCATGACAAAGTAGGCTTTATACAATGCCATGCAGTTTGTAAGATATCCGTTGTTTAGTTTTTGTGCTATTATTTTGTTTGATAAGTAAAGTATTAATGTCTCTTCTAAACAAATGAATGTACCTAATTGTGAGGTAAACAACAATACATTTCCTGATGTAACTGAAGACAGGATAAATTCCAAAGTACTTAAAAGTTTTCCAGAAACAGTTTTTGGAAATGTCATCCTTCCATCTGAGGACAATAAGCTAGTGACTAATGAGACCAGCTGTTTTCTTTCTGGATGTTGATGGCATCTAGTCTGCTGTGCATCATTTCCAATGGTGAGCAGGATAGACATGGTGCCTGCCCTGTGGAGCTTCTAGTCCAACATGGAGACAATCAGTATGACAATAAGTACAGACACAGCTATGGCAGAGAGGTACAGGATCCCTCCACAGGCAGTCATATAATAAGGTTATGCTGAGACAAGGAGGTTCAGGGCAGGTGTTCCAGAGAAGGTGGTATTAACCCATGACTCAAAGGGTGAGCAGGTATCAGTAAGGTCAGGACAGTGGTCTTGAGAGCCCCCCAGGGATCAAACAATGGATGGCAGAGATAAAACACGGAATGTGGGGTGCTACAAGTTGAGTTGTCCATTGGGTACTGAGAAAAGAGAAAGAGGCCAAGGTGGTCCCTGGAGGCATCTCTCAGAAAGAATTTACCCGTTATCCCTATTCCTATGGGGAACAGAATCTCTTTGCCCAAAAGAGAGAACTGACTTATAGCTAGATCTTAGTGGGAAAACAGAAGGAACTATGATGTACTGTACTTTGGGATATTGCTCTGTATTCAAGGTGAGGAGGCTCCACAAAGAACTAAATGCATCTGAGTGTGGAAGGAAAGTGAGAAGTGGCCCCATGCTGAAGTGCTTAATTTAGCACAGATCGGTCACTATTGGAGATTTGGTAGTGTAACTGGCTGGAAGCCCTATAAAGTGGGTGGAGGAGTGAGCTAAAAGTGAGGAAGTAAGAAGAATAATGGCATCTGGGGGTGCTTTTGGGAAATGTGGCTCTTAAAGAGCAGAGAGGAAGAGAACGTTCCTATCCCCTACCCCATCTCTTTGACATAAAGGTGCTGCATTTGCTTTCACAGTAATGGGATGATGGAAGTCAGTCAGTTTGGAATAGAGGAAGGTCTATATAAGAGGGAACTGTGTGAAGTGCTTGTTCACAAGGAGAGGAAGAGGGGCTTACCCTAAGACAGGAAGTATATTAGATGGATCGGGTAGGAAGGTGTATAGGGTAGATGTGGAAGTGCGTAAGTTTGTAGGTTTGCAAGCTCATAGCAAGTCAGTAGGAGAAACAGAGGGAAACTTGTGTGGCTCCCATATTTACAAAGCATTGTGGAAGATAGGATACCTGCAGGAGCTTAAATGCCTAGGGATGAATGAAGGTGCCAGTCTCCAAGGGACCTGAGAAAGCACATCATATGAGTTTTGTTATCCTCAGCTGTAGACTCTGACTCAAAATTTATGCTCAAATAGCCTTGTTCTTCAACCTTCATCCCTTTGCCTCTCAGTTCCACCATGGTGGCCCTGTCATTGCCCTGCAAGTAGAGAATGAATATGGAGCATTTAATAAGGATCAGTACTACATGGCTTATATTAAAGAGGTAAGAAGCTTGCTTTGCCTCCATATTTTATACCATCTTTTTCATTGTCTCTTTCCAAAACACATGCCTGATTCCCAACCTCCTGGGTGTTGTATGACTTCTCCTGGGGAGGAACAATCATTAATTCATCCCAGTTAGGGCACTGGTACTAGACCAAGAAGTGGTGACAACCAAGTCTTACTTAATGAATCAAGTTTATTGGGGCTACTTACAGGAGCATGGATGATTCAAAGGCAGTTAATCACTGAGAAGCCCACCACAGTAGGCAATGACTCATTAAATCTACATCTCTGGAGTTGCCTGCATGACTTGCAGGTGACTTGGCAAGTGGGAGAGTCTCCCCTCCTCAGCTATTATTACTGCTTATATAACTTTGGGAGAACTTTGTGACTCTTCTAAGTTTCAGAAGCTTTCTGATCCTTATAAATTTTGTTTTTTTTTCCTTTGTCTTTGAATGTTTCATTTACTTCCTGAGTCTTATGAGCCTCTAGGGAATGTTTTAATTTGGAGGAAATAGCTACATATACATCTGGAGATGTTACATCTCCATCACCAACATATATAAAATCAGGTTTAATTTCTCAATGAATTTCCCATATAGTCATGTAAATCAAGATAAATATGAATAACTTTGTTATGAGACAAAATGAGATGTTAGTAGTCATTGATACCTCTAAGACCTACTTAAAACCTAGAAATTGGGGACCTCCATTCAAAGTCAACAGCGGCTTTCAACTTGCTGCTTTTTGGTCCATAGTATTCATATCCTTTCTTCTGTTCTTTTTGATCTTCTGCAGATGGATATCTCAGGCCAGTGATTATCTGTAGCCATGCTGGTTTTCTATCTGTTGGTTTAAACACCTCCTGGTGCTTGACTTCCCTCATACAAGGAGCTAAAGGAAGCTCTAGTCTTTTTTTTGGGAGGGAGAGTTATTTTATTTTATGTGTATGAGTGATATGCCTGCATGTATGTAAGTCCTTATGCTGTGCAATGCCTGTGGAAGTGGGCATCAGATCCCTTGGAACTGGAGTTACAGATGGTTGTTTGTTGCCATATGGGTACAGGGATTTGGACCTAGGTATTCTACAAGAGCAGTGAGTACTCTTAATTGCTGAGCCATCTCACCAGCCCCAGAAGCTCTAGTCTTAACTGCACTTTATCCTCTGGGTGCAAAGCATGTACAGCTCTGAGCATGTTCTGTGCCTACTTGGCTCTTCTCACATAGAAACTAGGGGTGAATGACCCTAACTCAGTCACTGCTGTTCAGCTAGTATGAATTTTTATTGATTTAAAAAATATACCGAGTTAGGTGTGAGGGTATAGGCCTATAATCTCGGCACTTGAGAAATAGAAATAGGAAGATCAAGAGTTCAAGATTACCTCAGATACATAGCAAGTTCAAGGCCACCTTGGGCTAATTAAAAAGTTATCATCATCATCATCAACAACAATAATAACAATAAAACAACAACAACAACCACTTAACTCTGTTCTGAGACCTAACTGTGGCTTGGTAAACATAATCGGTACACAGAGAGGGCCCTATGATTTTGGGTCATTGGACTGATTCCAAGCCTCTAAGGTTTAAGTAGGTTTTCAGAATACAGCTCCTTCTTCCTGCAGACACAGCAGGCTTCCTTGTTTTTGTTGACCAAAATTCATGTAGGACCTAAGCTTTGTGAGGCTGATCTGTATTTTCAGAACCTAACAGGGTCAGCTTCTCCCTTGTAGTGCCAAGTGCCTTCCATCTTCTTTTTCTCTCTGTTGTTACTCAGACCCTTCTATTGTATGACCACTGATAAACTCAGATTTCATTTACTGTGGGTGTCAGGGCTCACAGCCCTCCAAGGCTTTACTACAGTCATACCAGGCTGAGCCCAAAACAGTGATTTCCTGATCCTAAGGTATAGGTGGTTACTCTGCATGCAAGCCTTTCTGTGCTAGCCAACTTTCTATTGCTGCAGCAAATACCTTAGATATGATCAAAGCATGTCATGCATATGTATAAAAAGTCATGATGAAACCTACTATTCTGGACAATTAACATATGCTGATTACAAAGTAAAAAAAGTACCTGAAATAAGCAACCTATGAGCAGAATAGACTTACTTTGCCACATAGCTTTGTAATTTTAGTCCATGACTGGTTGGCTCTAATGCTTTTAGTCCTGTGTTGAAAGGCAACACACATTATCACAGAAGTGCCTAGCAGAAAAAATACCATTTACCTCATGATTTTATAGTATAAGGACAGAGAGGAACTGCACTACCACAGTCTCCTTTTGGAAGGAATTGCCAGTAACCTGAAGTCCTGCTCTTAGGCTCTACCTTCTAAATTTCTACCACCTCTGTCACCAGAGTTCTCTCTGGGTCTCTTGTGCTAACAGGCAAACCATATAACATATCTTTATGTACATTCATTATTATTGTGAGGGGGGAGGGGAGTTACTTACAAAGAAACAAACACCCAGTGCCTAGCCCTGCATGGCTCAGCTATGCACTGCCCAGCTCTGTGCCACAGCTCAGAGCCTGCCATCCCAGATTGTTCCCGTGGCATGCCCATAGTCACCGCTAGCTTTCGCACATACCTCAGGGGCCAGCAGTCTCGCCTCAGGTCCATAAATGCCAGGCCATTTTGTTTTTGAGTATGTCTGGCTGCTGTGCCCTCTTTGTGTTCCTGGCTCCCATTTCAGATGGTGCCACAAGCCCCTCCTTCCACAGCTAACTCTCCACAGTGAATTCCCACAGCAGGCTCTGCCCCTTAGAGGAATCAGGACCCCTGGAGAACACACTCCACCCCTTTCCTCCATTCTTGTAATTTTTCCGCCAATCTTCTGCTAAGGTCCCTGAGCCTTGGAAGGAGTGACAGATGTAGGGCGTTCTCTCTTGTATCATGTCAAGATAGTGACTTCTTGGGCCTCTGAATTATTTATCTTTAATCTGTGGCCATTGATCTACCTCAGTGGTGTTTCTTTTACTATAAAGACAAATAGAAGGAAGTAGACACATCTAAACAAACACGAATGTAAATACAAATGGCCTAGAAGATATCCCAGTAGGTGTCATTAAACAGTATACTTGTGATGGCTTCCCCACTACAGCTTGTAGCCTTTCTTGACACAAGGTGTTGGCCTGGTCTACAGCACCAGATGTGTGTTCCACCACTAGGAGTGGGCCTTATCTAATTAGAAATTTGTCAGTTGTACGTATGTTGGTCGAGCCATTATTGCACTTGCAGGCACTGCTTGGCATGTCCTTAGTGTACAGCATGCAGGGTCCATTGTTGAGTAGAATCATAGGGGATCCTTTCTTTCCCAACCTTCTACATAGTGCCTTTTTACCAATATGAACATCATCCATCCAGTGGCACAGAGTGTTTTGGCCTAGTCTCAGTTCCATCTCCTCTTCTTCTCCCATGCTCACAACATGCAGTGTCTTCAGCAACATGGCCTTACCGACCTTTCTAGCGTACAACTGACATTAGTGGCAATAACCTTGGTGAATTTGAGGACCTCTAGGATCTCTCTGACCAACAGCTCATAGCGGGGCAACCCACCCCTGGTACTGTAGATTTTCTTAACAGTTGTATAGTTTGTTTCCATCTTACCCAACCATAAAACTTCCAAGAATCTTATAGCTATCGCTGGCCTTTGCCTCTTCCAGTATCTTTTAAATGGGTTTTACAGCTGTAAAACACTTGAAGGAAGGTTAGCATTATATATTAAATCAGTCATAGACAAGGTCTCACACAGCATGGAAAGATTCTGTCCATTCATATTAACTGTTTTCTCCATAGAGCTTTGTTAGGTACCATAGCATGAGTGCGAGGCATTAATTTGGTTAGCTCTTTATCATCTTTAGTTATCCCTTTGGAGTCATTTCGCACTTGGGGGATTCTACCTGGAGTCTCTTTGTATTCTTTTATTCTTGATACACTTACAGGTGTTGGCTCCAGTTGCCTGACCCTGCACTGGGCTAAGGAGTCAGGGGGATCCTGTCCCCACTGAACTTGTTGGCTCCCTGAGTCAGGAAGGCCCTGGGTCTGCCTCCTGACTGTAGCCATATCTGCCACACCTCTTCCCATCGACCATACCTGGCTGCTGGGGGAGGCCCTGGTGGGAAAACCCTTCCACCCCTAGTATAGCCTTTATCAGAAGAGAAATGCATCTTATTTAATCCTTGGAGATTCTTAACCACCCCTGGGACAGTTTTTATCATTTGAATGTATTTTGTAAACTCTTCTTCTGATTTTAAAGCCTTCCATAAATGCCTTATTACCAAATTTGGTTTTCTATCAATTTTTTCTCAGGGAATTTGGGCTTGACATAAGTCTTGCCACATTTGTCTTTGAGTAACCCAAGTGGACCTTTTCTTCAGTCCGGTCTTTTTTATATCTCTTATAGGGTGTTCTGTTATTTTACAGACACGTTTTACTTGCTGGTCAGAATCATTTAGATTTCCCAAAGCCTGTCTCACTTCACAAAGATCCTGTTCCATTAAAGGGCTTAGTAAAATCATTAAAGCCCCATACCATTCTCGAGGTCCCAG